TATATATATATATAACAAATATCAGAAAAATTCTACAAATATTTGAGCCAACTAATTCAAACACTTTAAATAGCGACAACCTAAATAATGACAATAATGTATTTCTCCGGTAATAAAAAGGGCAAAAAATAGAGAATAAGCTTATGCTCACAATAAACAAAGTTAATGGAATAGATAACAATACAGAACTTTTTCCAAAAAAAACTGATATATTCAAGCCTTTTAACGGTACACCATATAGAAAACTATTTGCGACTGTCCTTCTTGGTATCTTTTATCTCAGATTGTGTCCTTTCTTCTGAAAATAAAAAAAAAGTTAACTAAATATACCTTAATTTTTCTTTTCCACAGAAAAAGAAAGGAGAGAAAAAGTATAAAAATTAAAACAATCTCGCAGCTTATAACGTCTATTTCCAATAAACACCAGGATATATAAACCAGATACAAAAAAAAAACAGAAAATAATTATTTTCCAGAATGCTTTCTTGTGGCAATAACGTCAGAAAAGTCACAGTAAAAGGTAATAACATATGTGAAGGCATTTACTTAGTTTTTTCTCAAGAAACACCTCGATATATGAAAAATTTGCATTTTCTAATCCATACATTATCGAAATGATATATTTCATATAGCTACAGACTATATCCCCCCTTTAGATGTACTTTGGTCACATGTTCTCTTTATTATGTTAATCAAGTCCCATTCACGCCTACTCATAACGTATGAAGAACCCCATTTAATCTTCTTTCTGTCCCTCGCGCTGTTTCAAAACTTTCTTGATGTAATATTCTCCGGCCCTGTACGAACTACGCACCATCGGACCAGAGGCACAATACAGAAAACCCATTTTCATTGCTTCATCCTCCCACATCTCAAATTCCTTCGGATGGGCGTAGCGTGTAACCTTCAATCGCGTTCGGGAAGGTTGTAAATATTGGCCAAGAGTAACAGCTGACACACCAGCAGTTCTCAAGTCTCGTAGCGTTTGTCGCACCTCCTCCTCAGTCTCACCAAGACCGAGCATGATGCTACTTTTTGTAAGTAATTTACCGTCTGTATACCGCGTCACATGCTCAAGAGTCTGTAGAGACCCTCTGTACGTTGCACGCCGGTCGCGTACACGTGGAGTAATGCGCTCAACACATTCAATGTTATGAGCATATACGGTTAGGGGTGCGGTTGTGACGCGCTCCACCAAGTCCAAATTTCCATGGAAATCTCCCACAAGGGCCTCTAACATCAATGACGGATTTTTTTTCTTGATTTCAGTGATACAGTGACAGACATGAGCCGCACCACTGTCTTCCAAATCATCACGATCCACCATAGTCATCACAATGTAATCAACACCCATTTCCTTTACGGCAGCTGCCACTTTCTCGGGTTCATCTGGATCCAATGGCGGAGGCTTCCGGCTTGTTAACACAGAGCAAAAACGACAGCCACGGGTGCAATGAGACCCCATGACCATGATTGTGGCTGTCGCAGTGCCGTCATCCTCGCCACCCCAACACTCCCCAATGTTTGGACATTTGGCCTCCTCACATACAGTAGAAAGTTTCTTCTCGCGCATGCTTCTACGAATACGATTAAAACGAGGACGGTGCGTCATACCCTTTGGAACCTTTAATTTTATCCATGGCGGCAGTGGCTCCTCACCTCGTTTGATAGGTCCCATGGAAGCCTGTGTGGGAGAAATACCTTCTGGCAAATCTAAAAAACTCTCAAGTTGATTTTTACCGGTTGTATCGTTGTTCAGCTTCTCTCGAAAGGACTCAAGAAACTTTTTCCGGTAGTTGGACTCCTTTTTATCAGTTTCTGAGGTGATACTAATAGGACTCTCAGATGTGCTAGCATCCGTGCTGACGGATGTTATAGCTGGGCTTCTGATAACAGCGCTTCCCATCAATAATAAATGTGCGGACTTCCGAAGCATTTTTTCTTCTTTAGAAGAAAATTTAAAAATATAATCAATGAATTATTGATGAAATAAAACCAAGAAATCACTATCAGACTAACTATTATTGTATAATATATAAAAATCTTGGAAAAATGGATAGATAGGAAAAACTACAGTTTGTATTTTGCTATCCTATTTTCCTTCATAGCTTTTGATCCTCCGCTATATAAGGGATGCAAAATAATGGAATGAAGGGATATAAAAAAAAAAGATAATTAATATGATCAAAATAAGATCAATTTTAATCAGAGTTGTCGACTTATGATGATGGCACTCCATAAACGATCTAAATGGTTCATATAAAAATAATGATTATGGTACAAAAGGTGTGTTTTATCATTTACTTGGTTAGTTTACATCCCAACACAGATTATTATTAGTATTTTTTTCTCAAAGCATGAATTCAAAAGTAAATTACAAGGTAACTTTATTAACTGAAATCATAGAACGCGAAAACTTTTTACATCCTTGATACCCTGACGGCGCAAGTTCTCGATAATGCGTTTCTCTACTATCGAACCACTTCCTAATATATCCAAATCGTTAATAACTTCTTCTTTTGTGACTCTACCATTGTGGTGCACGACCTCTAGCCTGCGACACGATGTATTGATAGATTTTCCCTGTCCACCACTGAGATGCCAGCAGTTGCGCATCCATAGCTCGTAGTCATTTTCAGAATCGATTTCAAATGATGCATCACTAAAATAACGAAGGAAGGTCTCGAAACTAATGTATGTTTCGTCACCATTACGTGAATCTAGTTGGTCACGAAAAAGAGCGCGTGCTTCATCCACAGACAATAGCCCATTCTTTACGCATAACATATGTTTTGTATCAATCAGACGCACGAGGTCCTTGGTGCGCAGAATGCCATAGCCATCGCTACGTTTACAGATGCTCTCAAGTAAATTGTACACGCTCCTAATCAGCCGCTCACGATGTTCATTGATGTTGCCACGAAGCTCTTCGATAATTGTGACAATAGGGGCAGTGCCACTACGACCCTGGCAATCGAAGCCGCCGATCACGGCATTACACTCGGTCAGAGACACTTCCAATCCAATAGCTTCCAATCCCGCACACAGCTCGGTTGCGTTGATTTCACCGCTTCCCTTGTCGGTACAGCTCCCTTGCAGCGCGTGCCGCAGTGTTCGTATGACGTTACTAGGAAAAGCCGTCTGACCTGGCATGCTCTTGTGAAGCTGCTGGCGCAAGCGTCGCAGCACACCGCGCGCCTGTGCAGCAGGTGTGCTTCCAGTTCCGTGAACTTTGACGGGACGTTTAGACAATAGAGCCGCTTCATCGCAGTTGACAAATGAACCTCGTACATTTACTGGGTGACCCACATAGGCTTCTTGTGTAGTTGTCTTAAAGGTCTCCCCCAGTGTAGTCTGCCACTGTGGATCAAGGTGGGGCTGATGCCCCGGATAACTAGAGAGGGTACGATCAACGATTTCAACCATAGTGCTCTGGTCAAAATTAACGAAATCGGCCCGCTTGATGCTCTTGGAGGTCCCTACCATGTCACGATAGGTTGTAACCCAGCACCCCTCATGTGCTCTGGGGAGTACTGCTTTACCATCATGGAAACCGGCATCCGCGCGTTCCTCATACCAATTGCCCTCCAGGGTAGCTGGTGTATAACCATTCGACATGGCAAGTGTCCCAGGTAAATATCCCCGATTTTTAGGTTGATTCTGGGCGTTTCCGAGCCACTCGCTAAAGCGCTCCTTTTTGTGCTCCCCACCCAACATTTTACCCTATTTCCCCTTTTTGTTCGCTTTTCCCATTTTTCAGAAAAAAAGATGTGAATTCAGGTTAAGATGAAAAAAAAATGAAACGACAACAGTCATAATAATACCTACCTTTCCAATGACCTAATACCAGGAGATTGAGTTCACATAACAAATGGCGAACTATACACTGTAGTGGCTTCATTGTGCATTTTTTGTAAAGAGTTCTAGTGAGAATAAAGAATTAAAATAAGTTCATCACAAGATACCGCAACAGGTTCATTCGTGTAAAGAATTTAGAAAATGACATTTTTGCGGTAGAAAGGAAAAAAACGAATATATGCATATGTGGATGTGCTTTTTTACATAAGTCATTTTATTTCCCAACTAATTTTATACCCATCCCTACAACACAATATAACACCTAGAACATAGCTTGCATAATAAACGGGAAAAAAAACAGGTCTAAAGAAATATCTTCAGCTGAGACGTGCATGCACATATGTCTAAGCAGAAAAAATGTGATAATTCAATAAAAAAGTTCGTGTTCCCTTTTAGTTTGTCCTTTTTGATGGAATCATTACCAAAATCACAGTAAATGAAACAATACGTACATACTCAAAGTGGTCCAAACTTTACTTATACGGTACTGCATTGGTGCGCGCTGCCTCTTTTGCAAGCTCTTGTTTAACTCTTTCCTCAACTACACTCGGATCCACTGTGATAAGCCCCTCTAGGTCTGTGAAAGCAGAAATAGTTTCCTTTTTGCCAGTATCTTCCAAATACTTTTGACGTCTTAGCATAACTGTATCAATATGTGACTTTCGATCCTTCGCAATTTCAAGGGCGCGCTCCCAGTTAAAGAGTTGTGTGTTCATATCAATACAACGGTACACAAGCCCCGCCTGGAGCAAGATCCGTTCGGCCTCAGTCGGTCGATGCTGGAACAGCGCCAGACCCATCTGGCGAGCTTCAGGCAATGGATTTTCCTTGAGCGAATGAAGGTAGCGAACCTTGTCGAGATGACGTAGAGCACCATAACCCGTCTCAGCCACGCTTAATTCACCCTTACTCAGAGCAAGACCAGTAAGCACAGTCCAGAGTAGCTCACTATTGAGAAAACGGGCAAGACGCATGGCACCTTCCCAATTACTCTTCTCTACAAATTGGAAGAGAATAATGGGATAAGGTGAAACGGAAAGGGTTAGCAAGGCGCCATCGCTGCCGCGTCGTATCTGAACTCGTGTGCTATGAAAGCTGGCGATACGATCATTCCGGTTGAACTCGTCACTGCCTTCATCAAGGACCTCCTTGGTATTTAAGGCAAGATCGAGATTGCTAAAGTACATACAAGGGCAGTAGAAAGTCGTTAAGTGACCATCTGCAATAGCGACAAGCGTCTCATGTATCTCATGCCAGACGACACTGGAAACCATGGTACTGATCTTTTGCATGCTAACCTTGTGCTGGACAAGGCCCAAGAAGAGGTCTCTGTTTCGGTCCACAAAAGCAACTTTGCGATCATGAGCTAACCCAAACAGCGAAAGATGAACTGAAACAATGTCAACTTGGTGGGTCACCATAAACTCGTCAAGCTGCTTACCATTCGCAGTCGAAAAAAAGAAGAGCCTCGTGTGGTCCACAGGATCGCGCATTGCAACGGTATCGTTTGACAGCGAGATGAGATCAGAAGCCATGTTCTCCGGCTTTAAAGCTGTCTGTAGCCGTAGCGCACATATCATGCGGCCTTCGTACGAGTGAAGCTGAATCCCTTGGTTGCAATCAGCAAGCAAAAACAGGGATGGGGCAAGCTTCAGCGTTACTACAGAGTCACCCAAGTCAAACTGCACGGATGCATGAAGACGCTTCACAGGGTAACATGCACAGTAGGTAGTAGTACACACAATAATATGCTCATAGCCAATATCAAGCTTTATCACTTTGTCACGCAGTTCGAGTTTCTCGACGGTGTCCTCAGCAATGTTTTGCACTGTCAATTTGTGACTGTCCACTAGTGTAGCACAGTAGGGGCCCCATGTGACCTTTCGGTCGATAAGCTGCGCAATGCAAACAGCGCCGGTGCCACAACCCACAATGAGCTGTGTTCCTTCAGGTGTCCACTGAATAGACATAGCACTACCTTCTGAGATCCGTTCGTAGCTGTGGCTCCAACCTGACATGTCGCAGACACGTAGACTTTTAAACGACCCCACTCCAAAAAGTTCCCCATCCGCAGAAAATTTGACAGAAGTGATGGGATGTTTACCGATAGAAGAAGTGTAAATAGCGTGTCCGCATGGATCCCAGACCTTGAACACACCATCCTCACCCCCAGTGACAATTAAACCACTCATAAGAGACCAGTCAGATGCTAGTACAACACCACTGTGAGCGCACCACTTAATTTGCTTTCTAATAGAAGGATTAAAAGGCTTAATAATAACATCTGAACCAACCGTATACAGCACACAGTCACCCCCTAGTTCTGTCTTCTCGTAGCCCCAACATAAAGTATAGATACGCTTTCCAGTGTTTGCTAGGGTGGAGCGAGAGATTCCCGCCTGGGACCATACCTTAACAGTCCCGTCCTCACCTGCAGTGATGAGTGAACTCCCATCGGGGGAATACACAAGACCAGTCACATTACCAACATGAGCCTCTATAGTAGACTCCACACGACTACTGGCAACGTTCACAAAAGAAACAATACCATCTGCACAAGCGACAAGACAAGTATCTTTACCCTTTGGATCACCACGTCCACGTCGCAGGCCGCCAGACGTTGGAACCCAGGTCAACAAAGTTACACAGCTGTCAAATTGCTTGACAATACCAAGAGCCTCACCATTAATATTCCAACGCCTCACGGTGAAATCATCGCTACCACTAATAACGTATCCCGAAAGGGATACAGCTATCGATGTGCATGATTCGCTATGCTTCTCCTTCCCAGTAGTAATGTTGAGCCGCATAAGGCTTATTGATTTTTATTAAATTCACAACTCTATAAAAATATGTATAGTAAATAATATAATATTCTTTAGTACCTACAGCTTGCTCGAGAAAAAGATCACCATTGAATAAAATTGTCAGTTTATTATAGAAAAAAAAAAAGGTTTTATGAAGCACAATTATCATAATAATAGTGATACAGTTGAAAAGCTATGCTCTCGTAGTGGAAAGAATGTCTTACACTGAAGAATATATTAGTTATCTGCAATCCTGAATGGTAATGATAAAAATACAAAAATATTTTTGAACTGCTAATTCTACATTAATGAAGGCAAGATGTTATCATATATCCTCTATTTTTCCCCTTTTATGCATCAAAAGCACCACCCTGACCCTCCATCTAGATCATCTCCGTCATCAGTTGCTTCTTCACTTGGAGAATAAACGTTAAAAAAAAATTTAACGCCGTTTACATTATATACATTATTCATAAGTATTCATATTTCATGTCCACATAAACACATCTTTGAAAAGATATGCTCTGCCTTTACTTTTTATTCTAAACAAAAGTATAGGGAGTAAAAAAAAATGGAACGAGGTTCTCGTGTCGACATTTAAACTTTTTTTATATGAACAGAGAAGCGCAAAATAAGAATTCAAAAACAAAAAAACAGAAGTGTGTAACTTTTCCTTCACCACAAGAAAGCCTTAATTATGGAGATATAGACCAAACAATGCCAATCACACCTCTTCATCATCCAAAAAAAAAAGTAACCGTTAGAAGGAAAGAAAGTGAATTCAAGGCATAGAACATACACAAAGTGATGACATAAATTTGTAAAAGAGCCATGAACCCTTAATTTCACTTTTTTTTCTGATATGCAAAGTGCGAACCATTTGTGCAATAAATCTATGATATGTTTCTAATTGTCCATTTTGGAAGAAAAATCCAGTAGCGGCATACCAACTTCCGATGTTTGCCTTCACTCTGTTCTTAGGATCACATTTCACAAATCCTCAATAATATAAATAAAATCTTGCATATTTTGAGCAGTACCATTTCCGATCCCACATTCGCCACGCAACTGGTTGCCCTGTATTTTAGCATAGAAGGTATAAAAGATGACTTCCCCTTCTGGTGACTCCAACGCTATACCCCATTCCATTGGATACTCCTGATCCCCTGAAGAATGTATTTCCCCTACCACTCGAGCCTCTTGTGCAACGAAGCGTGGTGAATCCTCAAATAGCTTCATGCTACCGCTTATGCTGTTGTTGGGAATGTTGACTTCCAGAAGCAACGTCCAGCGAGGATTTTCGACAAAGGGTGCAGGGTTGAAGGTGATATTTTTATTAGAATCACATTCAACTCGCATTACACGCGTCACAGCAGAAGCATCTGTACTGTCCTTCCCACCGTCCACTGTCATCACATGACTGGTGCTCTTTAACGCGGAAGAACTAACTTCTGAGACACTATCCTTAAAGTTTGAATGCGCGTTTGTCTTTTTGTACTCCACCACTTGTCTGAATACATAATCAAGAAGTGCACGGGGGTCTCGATTACGTGGACTGCGAAGCTTCTTTGTAACCCCTAAAATCTCAGAGGCACTTAGAATGTAGTAGCTCAGACTCTCCGGTTTGCACTTGTTCGTCAACTGAGCCAGCTGCACACGCTCCGGTGCAAACTCCTCATCAAGATCGAATAAATCGAGTGCGGGAATCATCGGGTCACGGTGTATCGGTTCAAAGACCGCTGGTTTTACGGGCGGCAGTGGTGTCTGAAACTCTGGCGGGATTAATGTCAGAGGCTCTAATTTCAAGTTAAGTTTTTCGTAGGTCTCTACCACATTTGGAATCTTATCCGTGTCTAACTTAAAAGTATTTAGGTCAAATAATTTAGTGAAATCACGGGGAAGTTCTTCCTGCTGCTCCACAGCCACACGCAAGCGATCTGAGAGAGAAGCAGTATCTGGGAGGTGATGGTAATCTGTGATATCCGGTTCATCCGCATCAATTTGATTAAGACGAATGCGGTGGTTCAGATAATCAAAAAGAACCGTTGCGAGGATGTCGTTCTCCTCTTTAACAAGCCAGTTGTCTTCAAACACCTGTGCACTTCCAATGAGCAGCAGCTTACCCTGCTTCTGGCGGCCCAGATGCTCCGCAACATGTGGACACTCCCATACCGCGGCTATAGGTTGGTTAAGAGGGTAAGACATGAAGCCACTGCTAAGGATCGGAACACCCGGTCGGTTCACTTCAAATGTAAGACCGTAGGGATACACAAAAATTAAGCTTGTCAGTGTGTCAGCGGCAATCTGTGCGGCGGTATCATCTGCTTGAGAAGTTGGTTCTGCCACACCCAACATATTATGTCCAACATCAATCTTGCTAGTGTTCGTGGTACGACTAAGCGTAGTAAAGGTGCCTTTTCCAAACCCCAAGGAAGCCGTACCATTAGCTTTAGTGGGACCGAAATTATTGTTGTTTGTACCAAAGCCCGAGTTGTACCCACCTGATGCTCCGTGGACATTTTTCCCCGCCGCTTTGTTGAGCGCACGATTAACCACACCGTTTGTGACACAAACCTCCTTGGGATGTAAGTATTTGTGTTGGACGGTTCGAACAACGCAGTCATCGTTGAGCCGGATGCCAGTCCAATCCATCAACGATCGGTTCAGACAAGAGTACCTCCCGCCGTGGCCATCACCAAACATCAAACAAGCAGAGCCACCCTTCTCAACGTAGTCCTTAATAACTGACAAATCTTCCGCGCTGTAAACTTGCTGCGGAGCTGCAAATACCACGATGTCGTGAGGAAGCAATCGATCAAGGGTGATATCTTCTTTGTTCACTTCCACAGTGGCATTTTGCTTGAGCTTTCGGACGAGCTGCTTAAAACCCTTGTTGGGATGGTAACTTTCCTTGCGGCACATGTTAAAACATATATTGGTAAGCGTCTTTTCATCATTTTTGGGAACCTGTGGTACACTGGGAGGTAGTACTTGTGATCCATTGGCTGTAGATGTAAAAACGCCCCGGGGTCTATTGTTAGGGCTATTAGCTAACATGTAATACTTAATATCTGTACACCACGTTTAAGATGCAGTTATCACTGCACAAAAGACCTCAACACAATTCTTAACCGCAATCTAAATGTATGAAATAAATAAAAGGGGAAACATAAAAGAACCCAGGCAAGTCCCTTAACGAAATTTGATTGTACATAAAATTTATGTTTATAGTGTTGCTGATACAGTGTGATATGATATACAAAAACTTATATGACATAAAAAAAATTAGCCTATCCATCACAAACAACAAATATTAGCACCTAGCTCATCAGCCACATTATACTTTTTAAAAATGAGACAGGAACACGTATTTAGCACCCAATTTACTTATTTAAATTTTTTTTGATTATTATTGTCCTCGACCAAACCACTTTAGTACTAGTGTAAAGCTATGTATTTGTAGATATATAATAGTCTAGAAACTCGAGAATATCACTTCGGACATACATACTCCTTAAATCTAATCAGACTATTCTTGAAGTCGAAATTTATCATACAGAGACCCTGCCGATGTCAAACAAGATAATCAATAGACACTAGAAAAAATATCCCATATCAGGAATAAATAAATATATATTGATAGATAAAGAAATATATATATATATATACTTATAAATAATTAGCTTCACATTGAAATACTAGAGCAAACATAAATAAGTTAGATAGGAATTATTTGTTTATTAACGATATTATAAGGTTTATTGCACTATAATCCTTTACTAGAAAATTGAAGTATATCCTTTTTAGGAAAGACTAAATATTATATTTTCTACCTCTAGCTGGCTAGAGGTAAACTCTATTTTGGAATGGGATTTACCTGATGTGTCTTTTCAATTTCATGAGATCTAGTTAACACTTCGTATAGGGTCCCTAAACCGAAGAAAATAAACAAGATCCCACCTAATATATTCACCGATTTTATTGATACTCTCTGCGCAATGATCTTCCCACATAACACAGCCCCACAGGTACAGATGGCATGACCCAAAATACCACCAACCGTAACTGCATACGCATTCTTCGAAGCAGCCAATGCAATGGTTGCTATTTGACTACGATCACCCCATTCCGCGAGAAAAATCAGTGTAAAAGCCTCAACCATCACAGGATTGAGAAACTTACGCCAGCGCTTGGCGGACGGACTGGTGTACACGGAGGTCCCCGCGCTTCCTGTCTCTACAGCGTCAAGTGGATCCCGCCTCCGAAGCGCTGCAGCGGCTTCAGCCAGCTCATCCTCATTCTCTTCACCAGAATTTTTTTTAGACATCAACTCTCCGTAAAGTATCTTGATACCAAATGTGAAGAAGAGAAATGCTGCTAATACTTGAGTAACACGAACTGAGACAACGTTAGGCACCATAATACCCATCAATGTAGAGAAGATTGTCATGGCAGCTAAGGCAGAAACTGCGCCTATGTATACGGATAGTTTTGAATGTCTCATGGACATCAAACAGGCGATAAAAAATGTTTTATCCCCTATCTCGCTCAGCAAAACCATTGAAAAGGAGGATAAAAACCCTTCCATCCATTCTCGTAGCAAGCTCTGGGACATTGCCAACTGTGCTCGCTGTGGAGTGAGTAACTATAGTAAATATACAAAATGTTCTAGAAAATATAATCCGAAAAATAATAAGTCCTTATTTTAATGTAATTAATTATTCTCAGAAGAAGCGAAAATAACTTTTCACAAGAGTGTGGAATTCAAAAATAAAGTACATAATATAAGGCTTCGATATCTAATTTTAAATTATAATCGTCTCTTCCCCTCCTTTTATCATTCATAAATGGATGCAAGAGGTGAAAAAAAACAAAAAACTTCTTTTATGAAGATTATTGTTATTAATGCATATTAATAAGCGAACAATACATGCTATTTGAAAAATAAACAAGAATTACAAATCATTTAGAAGACAACAGGGTAAAAAGATTAGATTTTGTAAATGTCTATCATTGAAATTGGCAAATCTCAGCTTCTTCCAGCCTTCATCCCTATATATAATGTGACAATTGTATAAATCAAGCGACAGAACGTGATATGCAACTTAAAATCGGTCAAGCGAATATTCGAAAACAAAAAAGTACGCACACAAAAACATATTCACCTCCCCTCCCCCTCCCACCCCTTCTTCCTTAACAATAAACTGTACACCACATTAAGCTTCTAGAACTCATCACATATAACTTGCATTTATACACAAAAGTTCGCGAAGAAAAATAAACCTGAAACTAATCAAAAAATAACAGAATAAGAACCCCGAAAAATAATTAGGATAAAATAATACTGTCTAAAGTATCTCTCCTAAACTGTCTCAGTTCACGTTTTGGGTACAAAGTTCCCTCCTTCTCGAAGTGTCTCATCATTTCCAAGAACAGTAGAATCATCCCCTGCCGTAACATCTGAAACCTCAGTAATCCTTCCAACGTCCATTCTGGGAACGCTTCCGTTTTTCTTTCCTTCATTCGCTGATTTGTTGTACTGATGACTTCCCTGAGATAAACAACCAGGAGAACACTGCACTATCGAATTAGAAGTGCTCTTAGAACCATTACTACTCACCATTCGTTCCCCCAAGATCTCTGAAAATATTCCCACATCCCCAGCAGTCGAAGTGGCGTTATTATTATTGACATTGGCGTTAGTTAAACTGCTGCTGTTTCCGTGTCCGTGATGAGCAACGAAGCTACGGGGATTCTGAAAGTGCGGGTTTCGGGGGTCGACGTGTAGCTCCTTACAATTTTGGCTAAAGCGACACTTCCCCTTGATGTGATTCAAACAGGCATCATAAGGATAGTTTGCGAAGGTGCAATCTGACATAAAGTTACAGAATCCGTATACGCGCAAGCAAGGGTGAAGTTGTTGTTTGCTGCCGCCACGGTTGGCCTTATTGGTGTCGTGATCAAAGCGATGCCCGGTTGTCAAGTGTTGACTTCCTGCTGTAGCTGCAGCCGCTACTGGGACGTGGGCTGGGTTGGGATCCACGCGCTGCTGGCCCGCCGTTGTACTGCCACCACTTGGATCTACCGAACGTAGCAGCGTGTTTTCCTCCTCTGCCCAACCCGATCGTGGCTGTGAATTAGCAAAATACTTTATTGGGGTGCGACGGACCAACTGTGGAATATCCGCCAGTCTTACAGACTTGAGATGCGTCACAAGACGTATAAGAGACATGTTGGGCATCACCACATCGGTTAGCTCTTCCTTTGTTTGCATAGAGTATGCCTTACTGTTGGAACCGCTACATTCCTTGAAGTATCGATCAAGAGACTCGCGTTCGTAAGTGTACCCATCGCTTGCCACAACAGGATCCCGAGTGTCAGCATAACGTCGGACCAAATTTTCCACTTGGAGTAGGCGCTCGTCAACACCCTGTACACGATGATACGTTGCGTCACACTCTTTGATCGTATTGTTGTACAGCTGCCGTGTCCTCTCAAGGATATGACCAAGGCTGTTCGTGAGCTCGAGAAGACGACTAACATCCATGCTTTGTCCGCGCAAACTCTTTTGAATCATTTGGGTAGCTTCCCAGATCAACATGCAGCTGTCATCCTGAAAAGAAGAACCACCACCAGTGGTTGGATATCCACCTGGTCCACCATAAAGAAGATTAACTTCAGAAATCATGTTTTAGTCGTAATAAAAATAACGAACGAAAATATATAATGTTAATCAAAGTATCCTGTTTAAAAAGTGGTAAGCAAATTAAAAAGATTCAAAGATATTTAGAAATTTCAAAAAAATCAAATTAATTATATATATGTGTGCATTGTTGTCAATGTAAAACATTGCACTCGCACACGACTGTTGCGACTGTGGTGCAAAAAAATGGCGCATATATTCTCCATTATTATAGCCCGGTTATGCAGTTCACTGAAAGCGGATGTGACAGGTAGAGTAGGCAAGTCGGAAAACTAAAGCAAATTTATCTCAGACTGTTCATCGCAATAATTTGCAATGAACATAGAAAATCAAAAGCTCATAAAACAAGTCAAAGTTCCTTGGAAAAGCTTTTTTAGTGATAATAATTGTAGCCACATTATAAGCAAAGTATAGAGGAAGAACTAAAGAAGTAGGAAAAGGTGTCCTCCCTGGTTCAATAGCTTTAGTAGTAGAGAGTACTAAAAAAAATCATAAGCAGCCACATTCACCAAAACTTCCACTCTAGAGATCTAACAGGATCTCTAGAAATAGTCAAAAAGACTAAGGAAGAGGTACCCTAATTTATTAGATTCAGTTTATTTTGTAACGTTACATTTGGACTTTATATATCATATTCGGGTTTGGTGAAGCTCCTGAGCATTTCGACAATGTTAATTATCCTTTTCAAATATAGCCTTTACTTGCATATAAAGAACTCATTATTTCTGTGATATAATTACGCGGATTTGTATCATCCTACTCTATTTTCCGGTATTGATCCACATTGGAATTGAAGAAAAACAAGAACCTTAGAGATACAAAAGAATTACTCAAATACAAATATGGATATCCTTCTTTCACGCTCATCTTTAGAAATCCATTCCTCTTGTTATACCATCTATTTATGGCGAAACAGTCTACTCTAAGGAGAAGTACAAGTGAAAAAATTTTTCTTAACCTCAGTCACCAGTTTCTTCCTTGAAAAAGACTTCGTTGGTTACAGCCCTGAATTCACGACAAAAGACAGATGTACCCTTCACGAAGAAAAAATAATAATAGAATAATACACCTAGTTAATGTGTCTCAGCCTTTTCCTTTTGTCGAGCCGCAGTGTCCTCTGCACCACCAGAAGTATTTTGAATACCGTAGTTGTTGCTGATATTGTTGTTTGGTTCGCTAGCGGGTTTACCATAGTCGTCGAGCGGGCCACGGAATTCGACATGTCGCTCGTGACAATGGTTGCGGAAGCGACACCGACCCTTTAGGTTAGAGAGACAGGCATCATATGGGTATTTGGCATAGGAGCAACTGCCCTTGTAGTTGCAAAAGCCATAGACTCGAATACACGGATGTAAACGCTCCCCCAAAGCATTTGTTTCAACAGCGTTCCGATTATTGTTGTTTCCTCCTGAACTTGAATCCTGGTTTGCCGAAAGGCTACTGGTTGCCCCTGCTCCTACAGCAGTAGAAGGCACATCGCCCTTGGTGTCAATAGTACTGGGCTTGTTTGGTGCATTATCGCCTCCCTCAGTGGAGAAATGCGTAGTGTTTGCGTTAAGTAACTCTGTAAGGCTGTCCAAAAGCCTCTTAAGGGAGCGGTTAGGAATCAAAAGAGAGGTCATGGGTACATCCGTCTGATGAGATATGGGTGTGCCACCGCCCTTCTTGCAGCTTTCGATATACTCTGTTATAACATCCCGCTCGTACGTAAAGCCGTCGCTTGCAACAACGGCGTCCTTGACGACGCTATAGCGGTCGACAATGCGACGAACATCCCGAATGTTCTCCTCAGCCTTTTCCAATATCAAATCGAGATGAACTTTCTCTTTGGTGATGTGATCATAATGTCGATAGAGACACTCCACGTCGTTAATCATTCCTTGCAAATTGTCCAACAGCTTGCTAAGTTGTTGGTCGTAGTTTTGTATGTCTCGAACAAAAGACTGAATGCGAGTCTGTGTGCTGGTGTAAGCTACCTGTGGAGTCAGGTTCGAGGGTGTGGGGGACAACATTGAGTGGATACTATTCTCTAAACTCTCAAATATTTTCTTCAAAATTCACAAAATAGTTTCACAACTTGCGATGCGATAAAAAAAAAGGGTTAAAGCTAACCTTGAAAAGAAAAACTACCGCCTAAAACTAAGGGCTGAGAAATAAGCAATAATTACTCGTAGCACGGTAGATATAGGGCGAAAAAATCATACGCTGTTCTGAATGTCAGCGCAGTTTAAAGACCATCCCTAATGGATTTGGGCAAATATGTATAAAGGATGAAGCCTTGAAAAGGCAAAAGCTCCAGAAGACAGAATAATACATGGAGACCTGTCAAAATTCTAAGGAATCAGCTTAATTTAGCATATGCTTTTAATTCCGCTAAAAGCTGTAACACGAAAATTGGCAAGTAACACATGCAAACTACAGATAGAAATTCAAATTTTTATTACTGCCCTCTCGCAAAAACGAGAGTCATAATAATGAATAGGGTGAAAAATAAGTGATTATTTTTTCATTGACTTATACTTCCCTTCAAAATACGTAATCCGGAAATAGACAATGAGAGAGAAAAAAGTGATAAATAAGATTTAAGACTAATGTATAGAGATAATTTAAAGTTTGAAATAATAAAAACAAAATAGTTCAAGAATAAGGAGAAAATAAGAATATAATGCTATAAAACTGAAACTGAAAGATTCAATTAGATGAAAAAAAAAGTGGGTCAATATACAAGTTGGGAAGATATATACACCTTCCTTTGTATAGGAATAAATAAATTAGAGTATCATGAATCCGCCAAGCATAGAAAAGGATTTTAGAAGTTAAATACTCATCAATATACGAAATATATGTAGATTTTTAAAGTGTTCAAAGTTTTTATTTAGACACTACATACAATTTTTTATTACCCTTGAGAATGCTAAGCAAATGTTGTTTTTATTTAAAAAAATGCATAGATGAAAAGCAATATTCGATAAATAACTAAACATGCAATGATCGTGCAACTCCAGAAATGATGACAAAACGAAAATTTTAGAATTCAAGTGCTGATTACTCAATTTCTTTTTCTTTAGTGATAACTAGATTTGCAAGTCTATAGTTTTTAATTGGATGAAAAAAAATAAGAAATGAATTGAAGGATATATATACTTCTAAAGGTTCGATTAGTTCAGAAAGGTGAAATGAAAAAAATGTAAAACACGAAGGAACCAAAGTTTATGCACATATATATACCACTTTAGAATTACAATAGTATACTTTTCAAGAATAGCATTAGCATTTATGGACACGTATTTGAAGAAAAACATTATTTCACTTCAAAAAATGAGTAAAGCGCAAGCATATATTAGCCTTCTGTTTTGTAATGTCCGAAAGGAAAACTACAGCTCAAAGAAAAAAAACTGTAAAACCGTTATCCTCTTTAATAGAAACGATAAGGAAAAGTTTTGTTTGTTTATATGATGTAAGTCTGATCTCACTAAGTTTATTGCTTCTGGAACACCACAGTTGGTAAGGGCATTAATAGAGAACAATAATGACTAACATTCAAGGTGTGATCTGTACTCAGGTAGAGGGAGTAGCAATTGAATATCATTGGATACAAGTACAGTAACAAGGATAATGCCGATCCCACCACGGACGCTGTTCACTTAGGACACTATTGTATATAATTTGTCAACGAAAAATGAATTCATTGAATTTCTTAAACTTAACTCGTTATTGTCCGCACCGACACCGGAATTTTCTCCCTCTTGAGCAAAGAATGCTACATTAGCATTAAACGCAAGGCTGATATAGTCCTCCAAAGGTGTTTCATCATTTTTTTTCTGATCCATTTAAGTGCATCAAATACAAATACTTTTTAGATTATTGGTATTGTGTATTATTTTAGAAACCTATTTAACAGAATGAACATGCATATTTTCTTCCAATTGAAGTAGATTCCGATTTTTATGTGGTGGTGGTGAAATATAGAAACCTACACTATCGGTTAGTAGAGGGCCAGTCCCTACCTGAACGCTGCGGTGTTGTGGAAAAATAGGCTTGCCTTTAAAGAAACTGTGAAAATGAAGAAACTGACTCCTTATGTTCACATTAGCATCAAATATATTGTCTGACGTTCTAATGCTACAACCGTGAAAACTAGTACTACTATGCCTCTAATAATAATAAATGTATCCGTCGCAGTTGTCATCATTGCTAGTGCTGAGATTTTCAGATCCACGACGATACAACGGCACGCAATAGCCCCCTTTAAACCCAGAAGTTTATGGTGGCTGGAGTAACTAATCATGACCTCTTACATCACCGCTACTATTGCAGACTCAATACTCTGGTATAGGAGTCAAAATGTGATTACTATTCCACTTCTTTGCTGGTTTATAGGCAGCTTCCATTAAAATTGTTTATTGTAGGCAGTGGTAAACACATACAAAAAAAAAGGTATAAATCTATATTTTGACAAATGTTTCGCCCCCTTGTTATTGTGTATTCAGGCCAAATATATAATTAATGGGAGATCCTAAACACCCTTTTCTCATCCTTATGGCAAACTAGGAACAAAAGCCCGTACGAAATGAACCCCTTCTAAAGAGATTTATAAATTATAAACTAAAAAAAGGATAATAATTATAAATACTGCACATGATAGTCATATCTATAGATCTATGCATAGAAAAATTCGTTGAGTCTTCATTATCTAAAGTGTTTAATGGTAAATGGTAATTGGTATATGCAAAACCTAAAACGTTTGTGCAGTTATTATCATCAAGCAATACTCCCTAAAAAATATTATATATTTGATAAGGAAAATATCATATATATATATATATATATTTCTCCATAAATAGAAAAAATGCAATCTAACTTACTTAGAAGCGCTTTTTTTTGTTGAATTTATTTACTAATAGTTTTTTACTATTGCATATAAGCAAGGGCCATGAATAAATGGCTACAGGAAACAAATTATGTCCATTGCAAGTATAAAAGTTCTCATGTAAACGGGTTATATCAAGATGGTAATAAACTAATTAAAAAACTATTAATAAACAGAAGCTACGGAAAAAAAAGCTTCGCTATGCTTAATCACGAAATCCATTTGCACTAATCCTTCTAAGATATAAGTGCATCTGAAATTAGTGTAGTATATGTAAATTGGGGTACTTACACATACTATTATTCTATAAAATAAGGCCATCAATCTTTGCATGAGCTTTCCTCATATTTAACAGCCTTACTAAATGGAAATTTGTCAACATTTTTATCCACCTTTTTAATATGCAACAATAATTATAGTTTTTTATTTCAGCAGAGTCAAACATGGTGAAACATTTACTATATGCATATATATACATATATATAGATAGATATATATGTATGTATGTATGTATGTGCTGGAGTATTTGTAATGATTATAGATTTTAAAGCTTATAATGATATCCATTCTCTAGACAACGCAAAAATGAGTAAAAAGGATCCTAATAAAAGTAACTATAATTTTCCTTCTTATGAATATATATTTTAGATTCTTACATTTTTTTTTCCACAACTGTGTTCTTCTTAATCTGGCCAAACTCCACACCACGAGCACGAGAGGCAAACATAAGCGAACTACCAGACTCATTAGCATTGTAGCTCGCTGGACTAACACATACAAACATCAATACTTTGGCCTGTCCAGACATCGAGTCCTGGAGTAAATAAGTAAGGGTTGAGTTACGGAAAGGAATGTGCTTGTTATTGTTGGCCAAACCGGAAATCACGTCACCCAATGAAGACAAGGACTTATTGATGGACACAGACTCTCTCATCTGCTGACCCTCCGCACCGCTTTTCTCCAGACGTTCACTACCAGCAAGATCAACGAGAGAAAGTTTACCGTAGCTATGCATATTGGTCTGCCTATTAGTAGTCTGTACAATTACATACAAGATCATGTGTGACCGTGATGAATATTCGTTCATGTTCGTTGCTCCCTCGCTACGGTTTCTGGATGCTTTTTGCATGGTGATGTCGATTTCACTCACAGAGCTCACAGTTACCTCCTTCAAATTAGTCACATAGGTACCATAAGAACCGCCTTGTTTGACTTCGTAGGTAACTCCAGCTGCCTCACTTCGGTTTACAAGCAGATCACGAATTTGTTCACAGTAAATTTCTAGCACAGAAACATGCACAGACGAGACTTCAGTCTCTTTTCTCTCATCAATGATCGTAAAAAGTCGCTCAAGTGCGCGCGTGTTAATGCCCTTCGCATCACCATTGTCCCCCCCCATTGTATACGTCTTCCCACTACCTGTCTGCCCATATGCAAAGATGCACACATTGTAGCCATCCACAACACAATCGATAAGTGGTGATGTATCCTCAAATACTTTGGACTGGGATGCTTCTGATGGGTATACCTCGTCAAATTCGAAAAGTTTCGGACGACCAGAAGGATCGATAAACCCTAACTCGCCTGTGGTAGGGTAGCTCATGATATTGGTATAGCCACATTGTATTTCCTTAGGCAACATTGGACGCACACGACAGTAAACACGAATGCTACCCTTTAATTCCTGAATAGTATTATAGTATTGCTTACGAAGCTTCATCTCCTTCTTGTACAATTCCTGTGTCCATTCTAATGCCTTCTGGTTCGACGAATGGTCTTTTTCCGATGCTTGCATAATTGAAGCCAGGACACTAAGCAATTGACTTGAATAAAGCTGACACTCCCTCGTTATATCAATCCTGCATTGTTCCCTTAACTTGCACAAGTCCTGACGGATGGATATTGTGGAATTATGCATAAAAGAGACCTGTGCCTTAGAAATTTGTGGGCCCACAGGTGCAGATGAAGCCGCTGGCAAAGACGCTATAGCACTGGCACCTCCGACCCCCTTCTCAAGGTTGTCTATGCGTTCCGCATACTCGTTCAAAAAGGCAACACTTTCTCTGTTTTTGGCCTTCGCATCTCTGTACTTGTTTTGCAGCTGCCCGTAATCACGACGTAAGTCTTCGTGTTGCCGTCGAAGTTCTTGTGTTTCAGCACGCTCGCGCTCAAGAATTTGTTGCAGCTCCTGATGGGCATTTACCATAACTTGAGCAGAAGTCACATTTTTTGCAGTAACTTTCTGACGAATACGACGTTGGTGATCATCATCATCGCTATCAGGCTCTCCAAGGTCCTCAACGGCACGCTGCCTTGCAGCCTCACCCTCACCAAGATCCACACCAGTCATAGCCTCATAAAGCTCCAACATTACAGAAAATCCTTCTATCAGTGACATAAGTTCTTCTGCGATACGCTCGTGGATACCGGATTCAAGCATTTGCATGCACTGGTGTTTATTTTTTCGGCATGTTTGCGCAATGTCACTGTTCTCCAGAATCTGAGGGTGCTCAAGACCATACTCTAACGATGCCAGATCACCCTGAAACGCCAAAATCATAGCTTCCTCATTGTTTACAATGTAGTTGGGGTTAACACTAACATTGTCAAAATTTTGCATAGTCTCATTTTGTGGCGGCTTTGGATTATGAGTAGACATGGTCTTATCCCCAATGTCCTTTTCAATATCACGATACGGGGCTCCGAGCACCTTGCTATTTGCGAAGCGATGTAGAAGTCGCTCATGACCTTTCGTGTGATGCCGTCTGTACCACATCATAGTGATCATAATAATTTTATCACGCACTTGTGGGACTTGTGTGGTTTTGGCTACTCTAAAGAACCGTTCTGTCCACTTTTCCGAAGCAAGAAGTACGGTAAAATAGGGGCCACTGTTCTGAACGCACGTATCCATCAAGGACAATATTCGAAACTGGATTGGTGGAGAAGCGTGCTTGAAGTTTTCCTTCATTATTTCCAATACTACTTCTGCATTTCCTTTCCGAATATGCTCAATGAGTTTGAGGGTTGCTTGTTGATCCCCATCAGAGTTCTTGCTTTTTACCCATAATCGAATAAGTTGAAATATTTCGTCAGAAATAGGATCGGATTTATTCGCCCTATTATACAAAATGAAGGGGGGTAATTCCATTCTTTGATACAAACCGCTAAAACTAGTTCGATTACTATTGTTACCAATATCACTATATGCGTAAACTTTGGAGAAAAATGAAGTAATGCAATAAGCAAATCGATTTATGAAAATATGAAAAAAATTACCGTGATTAAAGAAGAGAATAAAGGTGAAATTAAAAGAATTTTCAAAACAGAACGGGTTGACTGTTCGAAAACATAGCTAATATTAGAAAACTGTGACAAAAAAATATGTAACAAAGGGAATAAAATAACAACACTCTCAGTGCACATTAAAACAATGATAACGCTACGTATACATGTATATTTCAAGCAATAAAACAAAAAGTGTAAGATAAAATAAAATAAATGTAGTAGAAATTTTAAAATTAATAACCGTAAATTAGCAAACAAGGCCAAGTAAGAACAAATGCGAACACAAAAACCCCAAAAATACTACACAGTGGAATGGAATCATTCATTATGTTTCGATAATCCAGATAAAACTCCGGTTAATTTATTGTTCCTCTATCAAACCATAGCATATGTAAAGAATTTTGATGGAAGGAAATATTGACTTTTGGAGTTGGTCATTGAAAAATATAATATTCCATCCTATTTTTCTACCCCGAAAAAACGCATATATTTTATCAAGCATCTCCAAGTAGCCTCCAAATACCTTGGCACTCAACGATAAAGTCTTTTGTAGAAACACAGTTTTAGAAGACTAAAAATTTAAAACACAAAAAAAAGAATTCATGAGAAATTTGATTTCATTATCAACGGGAGTTCAGGAGGATAGAAACAAATCTAGAGAAAGAATGCACACCTATTAGTTTTCAAAATCAAACAAGAAACGATGCAAGATTCAGTAAAGATAAAAAAATGATCTAAGAGCATTTACAATATTTGAAAATATACATATATATAGCGTATGTGATGTATAAATCAAGCTTGTTGCAGAAAAGGAATGAAAATAAAAGTGACTAAAAGATAAACAGATGCATGTTTACAATATCAATGTCACCTTTAATTTCTATACCTAGTTTACAGACACAAATTAGTCGTACTTCCGAGGGTTGTTAGGACATCCAGGTGTGCTCGCCAAATGTCTCCGCCATTCGCTTATGCTATTTGGAAACCGCTTGTGACACAAAGGACACACACTATGCGTGCTAAGGGCCTCAATACAACTCTTTGTTGCTAGATGATTTTTGAAGTCGTCAGAACGCACAGCTTCACGGCACCGGGGACACTTACGTACAAAGCGCCGCCCTTCACATTCAGTTACTAGATGCTCCTGTAATGTGCATATTTCCGTCACCTGATCACAAAGTGGGCATGGGCACAACATAGGACAATAGTATACGTAATGAATATCTAGCTTTTCTTCACTGAAATCAGGATTGAATACTCCGCAAAATTGGCACGTGTGAGTCAAGACAAACTCGGTCTCTGTTGTGGAAGTTTCCACTTTGAGACTTTGCAACAATGATTTATTATCCACCCTATTCGGTGTTATGTCTCCTTTCCTCCCATCCGACGTTGGTGGACTTACTTTGGTAGAAATAGGGTCGAACTTATTATCTGGAACACTTCGAGGCTGATCAAAGACTATGGGGTTATTCATAGCCTTAAGATGCTGTTTAAGTAGTGCCTGCTGCGCTGGCTTGATGGTATTAAAATAAGGTATACATGTAGCTCCATCTAGGATAATGAGCTTGGTGAACATTTGTATTCCCGCATCTCTTATATCACCACTGGAATTCTGCAAGCTAGGGAGAACTACATGAGATACTAAGGTTTGAGAATCGAGTGCATGTGGATCCAAATCTGAATCAATACCGTAGTCATCCAAAAAGCGAGATAGTAATTTAATGCGTGACAAGAAAGTGCGAGAGTTGGACATCTTTTTAGATTCTTTATTTGAGGGAATCAGCAATGATATGATTTTTTCCGGCCCGTAGGGTAACCGCGCAAACGATATGATAGCGTTCTCAGCTGTTTCGCGTATTTTACTATTTGTGTCGCCAAGACGGATAACTAACCCTTGCAACAATTTGGACACTACCGTGCTCAGCTGTGATACGGGTGGTGATTCTTTGAGCGCACCATCAATCCACTTTTGAAAAAATTCACAGGATCTGAAGAACATTCCACTAAACGGATCTTCCATGCCATGACCCTTAGACGTCATGTAGGCTAATAACGTTTCGACTGTAGTGCTAGTATGAGAATGAAGAGCATTATAGCCTTCCTCCGACAAAACCCCACGCAGCGCAGACTCACGTAACTGACCACGACGTGATAAAAGGCATCCCACTGCATAAACACCCAAATCATCCTCGTACTTTTTCCCTTCTTCCGCTGTTTCGCCTAATAAAAATGTGGGTGCTGGCTGGCCCACCAAAAGACTAGAAATTACTCTATTAAATGTCTTTTCCCACGACTGACCATTGCCGTCTATGGGTATTCCAGCTTTTTCCACTGCATCATTGGCGTTCACGCAGTCATCACCGTTCTTAGTTGGATCCATAGGCCAGGTTGCATCATCCCACTTATCTAGTGAATCATAGTATCCCTTTCCCCCGACAGCGATGTCATCATGAGAAACGACCTTAACGGCAGCAACTTCTTTAGAGGACATCAGGGGCTGCAGTCCCAAGACTGGAGTATTAGAATTAGATTTGCCATCATTAGATTTAACTCCATCATTATCCTGTTTGATTCCAGGGTTGCTAAATTGAATTTTAAAATTATCACCGTAATTATCAGGAACATTGTGGTGAGGAGGCGGCAAAGCCTGAGAATTTAAATGCTGTAATGCGTCTATTTTCGTTTTAAGCTCCTTTGCAAGTTGATAATCCTCTAACTTAACGGCCTTGGATTTTTCTTGTTTCAAGTGTTGCATGTATAAATCAGAATATTCTTCCTTTAGTTTTGTGTTTAGAGCAGATGCCAAGTCATAATCTTCATTTACGACCGCGTGAGCCTTTAGTGCCTTGAGCTCATCAAGTTGTTGTGAATTAATTGATGCACTAACACTGCAAAGTGAGGAGCTACTGTTGCCAAACTCTGCCATCGAAATAGGCGCCATTTCTTCAAGGGGAAGTTCAGAAATTTCACCAACTGGTATGAGTTTGTAACTTGAATTGCCTTGGACCTTCTGATGTTCGCTAAAGTGTTGTACTACATGGCCATGCGCAGTGATAGCAATGAGTCCAACTTTCTGTAATAAATTGTATGCGTTAAGATACGGCTGCATAAATAAAAGCTTCAAGTACGTACATGTGCGTCGGATATCGATTACCTTGAGCTCCCTTGCCATGTGCTTGGTGGCCTCATTGCTGCTAATATGAACTTGCCCAAGATCAATAAACGTAGCTGACTCGTATGGACCACACACACCGTTCTTTAATTCCGCTTCAGTTGCATCAGCTATACATACCTTCACAAGAGAAGGTATTTTGCTTTCATGTAATAGTAAGCGAACACTATTAATAAATACTTGTCCTTCAAAGCTGAAACCAAGTTCCTGTGGATAGGAACACTTTTTACTTGACTGCCATCCACATGAAAATTTTGTTTGGCTACGAAGAAACGCCGCGGGATATGCATCATCTTCGGAACTTAAATGACATATAGATAGCCTCAAGCGCGGCCCATATTTTACCTCTCGGATAAACATGAAATGAAAATCTTAGGATAAGGGAAAGTGTAAATAAGAGATACCGTCGGAAAATGAACTTAGCAAAAAAAGGGGGGGGAGCAATAAATCGAATAGTATATAGTGATAGAATTATTAGACTCAATGAATAGTAAAAGAGAAATGAATGCAAATTGCTCATATCCCCTTTTTCTCTCTGAATATAAATGCATATTTATTTGATCTGTGGTTATCCCGTTATTTTACGCGCTCCTTTACCCTTAAATAGCGCTACTTGATTTATTTTATTGATATTAAACGTTGCCCATTAGTTCAATTGAGCATCTGGCAATATGCGTATTTTACCTTTACTCACAATAATTAAAATATATATTGTTAGTATACTTCTACAAGAAAGCATCGTGGATTAAAACATCAATTATTCACTTGCGTCGGTATCCCCATCCGTTTCGGATGCTGAATCATTACAAGCTCCTTCTTTTCTGTCTTTTAAATATTCACTTTCTTCCTCCTCATCGTAAGAGTCCTCATCTAAATCATATTGAGGCGGCAGAATACAATTAGGGTCCATCTCAATGACAATATTCGGCAGGAAGGGCAGTATATCCTTTAAAATCTTCGACAGCTCTTGGATAAGACCATTCAAATGTTTCTCGCCTTTGCACTCATCTACAGAATCCATTTTATGGCCTCCACAAAGAGCGATATTAAAGATTTCTGAGGCATCACTAACTTGCTCAAGTGTAATGGCCTGTTTATCGGGAAATCGCATAACCGCCCATGGGGCATACTTCCCTTGCCAAAGCTCTCGAATAAAAGTTCTAGATCCTAGGCGAAGAACATTGTGTGTGTCTACTCGTCTTACTATGAGGTTCCCTTTGCGTGATCCATGCATTCGTGTCTGGACAGAAGAAATCCGAACAAGCTTGTTAGGAGTTGCATTGCTGTATGTAGCATCCAGTAGGGTGTCGCGACTTCGGTCCTGAGCGGATGTGAAAACTGCATTAGCGGTGAGTGAGCTGCTAGATAACTTTCCCATTGTTCCACTTCCCATCACAAATAGTGGAGAGACATAAAAGCCCTTTACATGACGCACCGTACGCCCCAAGTCAAGTAAAAATCGTTTTGCAACGATGAAATCGTTCTTGTGGCTACTAGAGGCGTTCTGAAAGGACGTGGGCAAGGGCTGGCAAAACGCCTGAGAAAGACTTAGCTTATCTAAGATATTTTCAAACAAGACGCAGCCAATGACCTCTGGTTCAGAAACTTTGTCTATAAAAGCCACAGGACGAAAGAAAACGTCACCACCAGTGATGTTCTGCAACTCCTTACGAACTTTAATGTCCTCTGGAAGCTGAATCAAAGTTACCGCCTTTGCGTTAGGAAAGGCAAACTTTATATGCAAGTCATCCTTAACATCATCTGAATACGATTTGGTTGTCTGCAGTTGCGCAGCCTTCATAGGAACCACACTGACACTTGTAGCGTTTCCTTCGCTTGCAAGAGCGCGGCAAAGACTTCGTCGACCTGTACATGGGAACCCAATGACAAAAGTGCATATCTTGTTATCCAAGTTCGATCTCATTTTCTTTGAACAACACCCCTCACTCTGACGAAATTGATAGAGAATACGAAGAAGGTGTCGTCCAGTTCGCTCGTCACGAACAGAAAAAGGCGTAATTGTCCATACAAGATTATTACCAAATCCTTGAGGATACCTTGCCTTCAATGAAGTGGCTAGTAGGCATACCTGAGTTACAATAGCCTGAGACGAAACAAGATCGGTTTTTGTTAATACAAATAAAATCAATACTTTTCGCCCACCTCTGTATGAGTTAGCAGCAGCAATAATTGAATCAATAAGTGTCCACGGAACTGCCTGTACAGAGAAACGTGAGTCCAGTGTAATGATATACGCTGCAGAAGGGACCTCGAAAGAACTGCATTCAATATTACCATTATAACTTGAAGGAAAAACTAAACTTGATAAGGATCTCAGGAACTGAAACTTAAAGTCATTTGATTTTGCTGTTGGTATAAATAAAACTTCTCGACGGTTACTCGGTTTTGCACCAGTGTCAATGGCCTGCGGTTGATTGCAATCCTCATTGCTTGCTTTTCGCCGCTCTTTTTTCATAACACGAAGATTCTCCCGAGCTTTTAAAACTTGGTTTAGAATAGCTTCCTTATCGGGATGCACATTCGAGACTTTAAGAGCTAGTTTAGCCAGTTCATGCGATTTTTTGTTTCTATTAGGACCAAGACCCTTCTTCTTGAGTCCCTTGGCTGCTTTCCGCAGATCACGCTTGTGTTCTCGCTTTTTGCGCTCGATTTTGTGACGCTTTTTAGATGACACACGTTTAGATGGTGCAGCTCTTAATTTAGGCATTGTTATTAATGCTTGAGGACTAGCAAATGCTAAGAGAGGTCACTAATGCTATAGTGAAAACACTAGAACTAATATGAAAGGAAAAACAAAACAAAAATGACACGTACAAAGAAAAAGCACAATATACGAAAAGAACGAAATATGCTTCTCATAGTTGTAATTATCAACGCTGAGTAAGTGAATAATAATAATCATCATAACTCATTCATGGTAATTACACTAATTTCTCATGAGTAAAATCAAACGCAAAAACTAATAAAGATAATAAATCTATACTACGATATTCTAAATTATTTTCCTACTATATTTTTACTATTTTAATGTTCTATACTACTTTTTTTCCGTATGCTATTTTCAAACAATAAAAGAGATATCATTTTCATGAAGTAAACTACCAAAGTCTGTAAACATTTCTATACGGGTTCTTCAAACTGATGCTAATAACACTTTTCCATCAAAACCCAATGTAGGCTGATCTACACCGTCTGGGTAAATAAGAACAGGTACATCGAAAAGAAAACTAGTAAGATCTATATTAGCAAGAAGTCTCTGTATATCCTCAACAAAATTCTTTGAATTCAAGTCCGGATTTGACTTAACTAACTCATATCTCAATTGATTGGCAAGGGCAACATCCATAAGTCGGTTAAGAGATCGATAAAGTTGAACCATTCTTGGAGAAGAATAACGTCGCTCAGCACTATCAGCGGCCCGAAAACGCTCTGGTCGATTCACGTACTGCTCCCACTCAAGAATTATACTATTAAAAAATGAATTTTTTCCATCGATGGTACCACTCTGAACCCAACGCTTCATTCGCATACAGCGTTCGTCCCACTTGTGGCGACGATCATAATTGAAGTCTTTATGATACCATGGAAGATTGCGTGTTTCAGGGACGTCAGGATCAAATTCACTGTAAAAATCTGCCCATGTTTTTGCCATTGGATTCTTAGATTTATCCAATTTTACTTTCTCGAAAATGTCACTAGTATAAATTGCGTAGTTCACAGTGTCTGAAATCCACTCGTTAAATGCTTTTTCCTGAGGTATTCCAATTGGTACCCTTGCCCAATTATACTCTAGTGGTGCAAGTAGATATCGAAGTCGGAAATAAAACGCATCAGTCTTCCATAGACGAGGGTTTGGCATTTCACGCATTGCTTGCTTCATATATATTTCATATTCTTCAAAACGAGTAGAATAAAAATCGTCATCTTGTTGGGCTAGGATTCTCTCTGCGTTAATGCGATTAGATTCTGGGTGTGTCTCACGAATTAGATATTGAAAAAGATTCTCACGATTGTGAGTGTACAAGTCCTCCATAGATGTTTCCATAATAATCTCAATATCCTTAACCAAACGGCGATAGCCCCGTCTATTTTTACTAGCATAATGTTTCGGCTGGTTATATCCACTTTCTACCCATCCCTGAAATTCTCGTCGGGCATTTTCGCGATCAGGATCCACATTTTTTATGTACCAACCCTCATAATCTAAATTTTTCTCCCAATAATTGGTCCCATCTGCCTGCCCTTTTTCAAAATACCCTTTTGAAGTGGTCCATGAAATAGGAATACGATCAGCAATTTTTTTAAACTCCTTCTCGCATTCCTGCCCAAGCCAAGACCAATGACCATTATAAGGACCCTCACGTCTTTGTTCCTCACCATTCCAAAAATCCCTTTCGTTATTCATTTGACTCTCCTCTTTCGCGTATTGTTTCATAAGCTCATCCATGCTTTCGTACTCGAAAAATTTTTCAACAGTAGCACGAGTGCGGCGAAACATGACACATTCTTGAAACTCTAGCCACCCGTTGTGAATAAGATGACGAATAGCATCAGGATCACGTGCATGTTGATTCTGTAAAAAACGCTCACGTATCTTTCCTTTCATTTGTGGAAGAGGGATAAGTAACCAGTAGTAATGCTTCACGATCGGTATCGCCTTCAAAATTGATCGATATAATGATTTTACAGCAGCTTTTAATTCCCAATTTAAGATAGTATTAGCCTGCAGCATAGAATTACCTTCTGGCTTTCCAGTTATGGACGCGTAGTTAAAATGTGGATGGTGTTCATGAAAAGGTGGCATGAATACGATGTCGTTGCTATCTACTGACTCCTTATTTCCTGATTCACGCTTGTATTTATTGTACCTCATAGCCCCAGGACCTCCCGAAAAATAAGGTGCATTCTCAAAATTTCCCAATGAGGTCTCAAACTCGGAAACTTTTATATTATCAGATCGATCTTTCAGGACATTTGAAGATTCAGCTTGCTCAGTGGACAATTCATCACACCGGTTAGGATATTTTTCGAAATAGGCGCGAGCAGGTTTCGTGCCGTACAAACCTGGTCTATTATCAATACCATGTCCAAAACGAACTGGTCCATCATAGTTTTTTTCCACTTCCAATATCATTTCAGTTTTTTTCCCATTGCTGTCGAAGGGTGGGTTGAACCCACCTACGGCTCCTGTGCTGTGTAAGCGGTGGCTGCAAAGAAATGCTGGAAAAGGATGCGAGTGCAATCGAGAAAGCATTTTTTTTTTTGCTTAATTCGTGATAAAAATGTAAAATGAAAAAAAAGCAGAGATACTACAGAATGTAAAATCAGGGAATATTACTTTTTTTCATTTAGAAATATTACTAAGCTTAATCTTTTACATGCTTATTCTCTTTATAAAATCATTCTATTAGTTCAGTTTATTTTTCTTATTTTTATTTCAGAAATAATACTAAAAAATAATATATTTTTTAACATATGTAAACTTAAAAGTATAGAACGCAATATTTTATATGTAAGTAATTTTATAGTAACATATAAAATATATTAAAATTATTATTAATAATAATAGTGTTAATATATAATTTTTATTTATTTATTTATATCAGAATAGAAAAAACAAGACATTATGATTTGGTTTTCTCTAAAAAAATGTATATTCGCATTAAATAGCATGTTAAGAAAAATGCAAAGAATAATATTAATCAAAGCAGACAAAGTTTAAAATATACGTATGAATCTAATGTCTTTAATTCCATTAAAGTTGTTTTTATTGTTGTTACGGTTTGTTTTTGATAAACCAAGTGACTGTATTCTATATAGTTAAAATATTTTTTTTATAGTCACTTTTTCTAATATTCATATTTAAATAAGTATTCCAAAATCAGATATTCATCCATTGACAATCTAAACAGCTAATATAATATTATTTGATAAGCATATCGTATAAGTGATTAGAATGAAGGAAAACTGATATCCTCAAAAATTAAAAAATAATATATTAACCGATTGACAATTATATCATAGTAAAATTATACACCGGAAAGTTATCTAATAAAGCACTAGTCATATCTTTCGGATAAATAAAATGCGCACAGAAAAAAATAAAGAGACAAAAAATCCTATTATCTAGAATGAACAAGCAAAGTAAAATATATGTGTACATTTTGTCAATTCTCAAAAAAAAAATTGTCATAATTATTAGAATCAAACAAACACATCAACTGACTATACATCCCTACATTTGCTAAAGACTAAATAATTAAAAAATAAAAATCCAATTTTAAAAGATTCGTAAATAAAGCCGATTAACCCTTAAAAAATGATAATTCAATTATGCACACTTTTATGTATAAACAAATTATTCGAAAAATAAATAGTTTAATTTCAAGTCACAAAATTAGAAATTATAGAAACACATATTTTTTTACTAGAATTAAAAACCTAGGAAGGAGACATAGTTAATATGGGGAAGTAGAAAATTCTATGGAATTGACAAACATAACAAGGAATATATATAGGAATGTAATTGTAAAAATCGGTTAGTAAAATACTTGGAAGAACATCAGTGGTGAATTAAAAAAACCCACATCAGCAGGAAACACGAGCAAACACCAATATAAGCTAATGAAAGTAAACCCATATCGACTCGCTCAAATATTTTATCCTTTAACACGCGCCAAGAAGACCCCCATCCTCTCCCCC